TATTTACTTATTATATGGTCTTTTCAACTAATCTTCCTAAGCTGATGCTGCGAGGTTGGCATAGGTCTTCGTTGTCGTTATCGTCGTCGCTTTTGTTGATGTTGTTGGGCGATGGCTGACGTTTCGGCTGCTTCGCCTTCCTCAGAGTCTGGACGTATTTTATATTAGAATATCTTTATTATTCGTTGGAAAAGAAAAGTTAAAGTATTGATGAAGATCAAACTTTCAAATAGATGCCATGTTGAACACAAAGGCCACTCACCGTGATGTTACGTGTAGGCCTGTCCTACTTGTGAAGTCGCCGATACGTCAGCCATCGACCAACAACATCAACAACAGCGACGACGACAACGACAACGAAGACCTGTACCAACCTCGCATCAGCTTAAGAAGATCAGTTTATAAGTTCATATAAATAAATACATTCCATCCAATGTTGCTGGGTTCTCTTTATGATCATAAATGACGGAAAATTCTAGAAACCTGCCGGGCTTACGAGCGGATGCGGAACTCATTCCTTATAGGCTATTCCAGACCATGTGTCACTCAGCTGCAAGTTTTTCGCATAGTCCATGTGTTGGAAGTGTTCTACGCCAATACAAACACATAAGAAGCATAAAGTCCATTGCCCACTTCGAATAAGAGCCAGCGGGTGTCCACAACAGACGTCATCAACCCACCAATGGATATTTCCTCGACAACGGTACAGCTTAGTTATCCCAGTGTCAAAAAATCTTGAGCGCTCAAATGGAACAATTTCGTGAATTAATTAGGTTTACATCCTTACACTGCCACATAGTCCTCGACTGTCACATTGAACATCACAGAAATCGGTACTACCCTGTGAGAATCCAATTATCGTGTTAATAAATATCCATTACGTTCACAAAGAGGGTGTATAGAGCAGTGGCCGGAGGCGCCCTGCAAGACACGCGGGATCAATTTGAGGGCCCAAAGCTCCTAAAGCTTTTCACCTCCCGAGGCCGGAAAATTGGTGGCAGACTTGTTTGGGAAAAAAGCAGGACTGTCGATAAATCGGTAGAACACGGCGAGTCCTTGCAAAAGTAAGACATGCATTCAACCACCTCTAGCGATGCTAAGTGAAGTCCAATGCATGACGCATCCCTCATGGACTGATCCACGCCGAAAGCTTTATCATTTTATTCTGTTACGTTCACAAAAGCAGAGAATACCCTTGATAGAAACATTGGAACTCCAGCGTATCTGACCACTCATTAATGTGATGAATGAAGACGTACATTCCACCCTGGTTTTCATCAATTTTACGTTTCATATGGCCGTTTTTACCTGAGCGGTGTGCGCAGCTAGCTTTGTGTGCCATGGGCTTATTTATCAGAAGATAATTAGGATGAATCTTTAAAAGGCGTTCGTTCCGTAAGCGATTGAACCAAAGAGCAAGCGCTATACATTGCAGTTTAACAACGAAAATTAATTGTGATATTTGTTAAATATGCAAATGTTTTGGATGAGCTCAGACAATACCTTTATTTGTTAATGGCCGCGGTCCAATGTAACCTATTCGGTTACGCACCTCAGAAGCATCGAGAAGCAGCGTTAGAACACTCGTGTGGAAGGTTCTTCTGCTTTTGCTGGGGTTAAACGTATTGTTCGGGTAATATTTTCTTCGACATCCTATGTTATTCAGCAATTTTCTTGGTTTTTAAGCGTTGACTTCATCGGAACCTCTTGCTCCCTCTCTCGCGTGTGTGACGTCGGCTATTCTAGCCTAGCCCGATGATATTCCAATTAGTACATAGAAATCCCAATAAGAATAGCCTAGTAGAAATTAGTAGTAGCATATCAGCAATGAATCTCAAACTTTTCTTATTCGAGTAGCTTAAGATATTCGGTTTTCAAAATTATTTTCTCACTGCTTTCTCATACATAAATTAACTTTTTTGGAGAAAAACAATAGTTGAAGGGTCATGTGCACCAGAAAATAGCTTTTCGGTTCTAAATTTTTCAAGTTCTGGTTTTGCCCAAGCATTCTGCGGTGACACGAAAATTTTTGAGAAACGACTTTCAGAATTGTGGTAGGTCATTTCACCATTCGCGACAATAACAATTAATTACAAAGAATAATAATAACAAGAGAGACAACTTCGTAGTTCTAGTGTCGACCACCTACATAGATTAGAAAGAGGATGGTCCGTGCAGAGGTATTGTTGGTGTTCCCTTTGCTACAGTATGCACTTATGGGAGTAGGAGATGCTTTGCAGTTGAAACATGAGAAGAACACTTCACTACCATTCTTTAATATGCTACCGAGCTTAAGCGCATGATGTATTCATCGATCTTCGTGATCTGTTACCAATATGCAGAATGTTGTCTGAGTCTTTGACTTTTGGATAACAAATAAGTTAAGAATATTTAGATCAAATAAATAAAAATTAATTATAAAAATAAATAAAAATTGATTTTATTAGTTACAATAAAGTAAATGATGGGAATTCAAATTTTCTGCAGATTCCGTGTTTAAAACGGTGATGAAAAGGATCCACCATAGCGCCAACCATCGTGAAATGATTTTTTCAAATTAAGTGGAAAGTGAGGTAAAGTCTTTCAAGTTCCGCTTTTTGCCCTACCTTCTTTCCTCATTGATCAACATAGTCGCAGCCATTGCAGATTTTAGCGGTGCCGCAATGACTTAAAACATGTTTTTAAACAAGACAACAATGGTTTTTTCTGACGATGAAAAATAAGTCTTCTTCGTTACTTAAAGGATTTACGGATTGAGAACATCACAACTTTATCGAACAAGGTTCTTCTTACCAATCGAGAGGTCTGGTGTTTGCTGCGTTTTACATTACTACGCCGTGCAAACATGTCGCGATCTATCTTTGGATGGATTTTGCCACTTGGAGTGCTTGCGGTATTTCTAATGACCTCCCACTCCATGCGTTAGCTACGACTGAGCTTAATAACTAAAAGTGTAAAAAATGAGAAGGAGCCACCAAAACCACTTTCTTCAAGAAAGAAAGGAAGAAATAAATGGAAACAATGGTATTTGTATGTCCTATGGACGAAATGGCTTCAGAATTTGAAGCACAAATCTGAGACGTCTGATAATTTTCCAGAACACCCAGTTATGTTTGATAATTGCTTTTCTATGGGTAAACGTTTCCAAATTCCATCACCTTCCACTCCCCGAGATCTCGAGCAGTTGACTATTTCTTACTCAACTTTTTGAAAATTGAATCAAAACATTCGCTAAATCAACTACAGAATAGAGATGCATCTAAAGCATCATACCGTCGTCTTCCAGTGCGCGACGTCTTCAGTGGAAATCACTTTTAGGAAAGGAAGAAATTCGCCTCCGGGTATGAGGCTTGACTCAGGTAACCACAGAAATGGATTAAACCCCCAGAGATTCAATCCCCTGGAAAGGTGTCCCAAGGTGAGGAGGAGACCGGCGTTTCCATCAGGAAGCCTAGCTAAGAGTAAACCAATACCAGGATCCACCACCGTCCTGGTATCAAAATCACGTTGTGGCAAATCTCCCTCTGATCCACAGGAGGTGCGACTGCCTGTGGTGGTGAAGACCTGGAGCAAACTTTGGCCATGCTAACCACGTGACTCCAGGGAACCACAATGGCTTAACCAGGAAATCTCCGAAAAATGGAGATTATGCAGGGGCACGCACAGCCAGTGAGGACAGGTCGTTCAAATATCAAGTAATTAAGTAAACATGGTAGCGAAAGAGTAACCCGTGGAAATGGTCGGAGGAACTTGCTGTTGCGGTTTGAGGATCTGAAAGTTGTTTTCACCTGTGAATATAGCTGGTTCGTTTACAGCGTATACGTCTTCTCATCTACTTGGTCTCAGTTTCTATTTGATCAAATTCTGTTTCATCTAATCAATCTCTATTTGATCTCTCTGAAGACTTCCTTGGAATCCACTACTTTTCATCCACCTCTAATATTCTCTTTCATTTCCATGTGGCGTGAAAATTGGCGTTTACTTCTTGTGAGATAAAGCACACTGTTGAAAAACAGTTCAGCGTCGAAAGGCGGTGTTCGAACGATGGGGAAGTTGGCTGGATACTGAAGCAGTGCCACCATTCTCTATACTATTGATCTTCATCTCTTAGGAAATCCGTTCCACCTCTAATCCCTGCCTGTCCAAGGTTGATAAACAACTATATTTTCGTATAAAGGGAGAACAGTCACTAGGGGACGAAAATTGAGGAACCGCGAGGTGTAACCGACATGTATTCTTTCATTGATAAGCTAACACGAGGCTGACAAACAAAGTTTATTTGCCTAACGCCTCGATGTCTTCACCTACCTCAGAGCCGGTTACCCGAATCGATGTTCACTGTTCATTATACATTCGATGCGTTATCTTCGTCGTCGTATCGAGTCGCATCTTTTCAGTGGAGCACCGCACATGAATGAGGCAAGCTCACCCTGCAGTGCTCTTTTACACAGGGCCATTGTTGCTGATGGTGATTGTTCGGTGATAATAACTTGGTTTTCCGGCCACTCCGTTCCGCAAAAAGTAGTAACACCAAACTAGTTCATAAAAAATATTTTCGACTATAGACTGTCAGAATGGTAAGCACATACAAGGTAAAAAAAATCTCAAAGTAGAAGACTATACTTTCATTTCGCAGGCAAAATGTTTCAGTGACTCAAGAACGATCTTCACAGCGACCTCAGAACTCGAAAAAGCCAGCGTTTCCTAAAGGAAATTGTAATTTATCCACATCGGATCGTGAAACTGAATGACACAAGTGCCCAAGGTAATAATAGTTAGGTTTATTGTTGCTCATAATTTTGCAGCTATCGAAATGGAAAGTGTTAGAGACGATGTTTACGTGCTTTCAGTGTCTCGTAAATTCAATTTTATCTCCTTATCAAGGAAGCGAACTACTGACAACGACAAATTGCCATCAAAGCAACATGAAGTCAGCCTTTGTGTTGGCCTGCACTTTCCATGTCGTATATACCTTTAAAATCCTCGTCTATTCAGCACCCATGGGATTTTCCCACATGCAGTTCATGGGACGAATTGCCGACATTCTTGCTGAAGCCGGCCATGATGTGGTGAGTAATTGAGCCATAAATTGAAAACATAAAGTTTCTCACTTTCTAACACATTTTACGATGCAGTGTTCGTAAACCTCATAATTTGATCTCGACGTTGTTCGGATATATCGATATCCGTTACTACATTCTTCTTGAATTTAAAAAAGACTACGCTAAAAAATGAGCGTAGTTGGCCACGTTTGAAAACAGCTTTTCGACGTGGACCTCGGTCGAATTAATTTTTGTTCCACGTCGTCGATTCTATTGTGAACTAGTCAACCGTTAGTATAATAAAGACTATTTATTTACCTTCAAAGACTGAGTCGAGCGAAATCATACACCTTTTTAGAAAGGTTTTAGCCGTTTTTTCACGATTCCACCCCTCCCGCCTTTTGTTCACGTGTGCGACATTTCAGTTATGATAAAATGAATTGATACGGTGACCAAGGGATTGATAACAGAATTACATTTCCGATAAGATATTTGTTATAGCATGATTTAATGATGGCACTAAAACACGACTCCAGTATCACGTATGGAAAATATTTACTCGTAGAATAGATAGAAAGGTATTTACTTGATAGAATAGTGGAACGGGTTTATACGTACAAGAATCGATCGTACGATTTAAGCACTCAGTTGCTATATTGCAAATTTAGCAAGTCTTTTCTCCAATAGTTCACAGGATTTCATGTCAGCTCATTCTCAGAACGTCATTATCGGCACTTTGTTCAGACTACAGCACTTTGCTACATGACCATAAGCTTCTTCCAGGAAGGCGGCAAACAGTTTATTTTATCTAAGCGTTTGGTTGAAATATCGCACTACTTAGCTTAGGAGGCTGTGCTCGAAGAAGGACTCTTCGCAATGGTTAACTAGAGGACACATAGAAGAACCACCACAACCATATTAAGACGGCGAAGCACTAGGACAAGGGACATATTTAAGTAATGAAAATCAATGAAAAATATTCTAATTCCTTTCATAAACGACTTGTGCAATGAAGTCAATAAACCCATCTTCAGAATCCCGTTGTCTCTGGGCATGCACTCGGAAGCCCTTTGTTGAAATTTAATCAACTATTCATAACGTGGAAGGTGTTACATGGCTGCGATTATTCGGCCTAAGGTTGCTAATTTAAAAGAGATCCGTGATGAATTCGTCTTTAGACCTACCACTAAAATTTTCGAACAACGAATAAGTGAGTAGTTGCATGCATTTCGTAAATTAGACGCTGAGAAAAATGCTTCCAGACAGTACTTCATCCGATTTGGGAGCCAAAATATTTGCACGCTGTGTCTAAATCTGCTAAACAGGTTGGTAGTCAGGATTTCATTTTTTTTCCAGCAGGCATTTCCAGTTTGAAAAACATTTTAATATTTTTCGTTTAAAACTAATTTGCTATTCGTAATGTGAGAACAGAAAGTGGTGTAGCAGTGCGTCTGAGGAAAAACGCCTACATAAAATAGGAAGAGTCTTTCATAATCAGAGAATACAAGTCTTCCAAATAACCGCTCTAATTGGTGTTCATAGTAGTCCGTGACAGCAGATCCAAAACAAATATTTTATCCATAAACGGTATAGTAATGGGCACTGACGATCTGGCCGTGTACTGGCGCTTTCTTTAACGCGGGTTGAAAATTCTAAACTAGATATTCACTAGCACTACGTTCTATCTGAATTAATTTCATCAAATTCGGTCTTAAGGTGTTGGTCGACCTCCCAATGGATCTGAAGGAAGAGTTTCTTCCTGGAAAAATGAATGTTTGGGAATCGGACAGCCAATCGATTCTGCAACAACTGCAAATGTTCGACAATCATACGAAACGACAACTGAGCTCTTGTGACGGTGAGAAATTTCAGGAAGAAGCAGTAATTTACTAACGCAAGAGCTAACCAAACCCAGCATATTTCTTGATCCGATAAAATGGCACTAGGCTAGTGAACACTGATGAATAGCGATTGTGTATATCGGTAGGCTCCCAAGAAGTTATTATGTGGTTCGAGCATGCTTTCACACTACGATACTTAGTGGGATGCCTGACACATTCCTGACGGATTGTTTAGCGCGAAACACCTTATTATTGATTATTAGAAATGCGGACCACACATAATTTCGAAGTTTTTATTGGGCCTTTTGTTTTCACGATCCCTCAAATTCTACTATTGATTGTGAAATCGACCTTTACCTCCTGAGTGATCCAACTATAATCAATAATAGTTCTCCCTGATAATGCCAGTTACAATGTTAACTTTCGGTGTTCAATTTGAAAACGCTAGAGCGCCGTCATGGCAGAATGTCTGAAGATTTCAGTGGTGCTGCGCGATAGCGCAACAATGGACCGATTGATCAACGAACGTTTTGACGCTGGAATCGCTGAGGTTATCGAGAGCTGCGCATTCGGAATATTTCATGTACGTTCTTTAAATGGCTATAGGTTAACTGGAGTTTAAAACTAAGCAACAAATCATTCTAGAACATTGATGTCAATGTGTGTTTTGCAACCTGTCCACCGGGAATGGAGGCCAGATCGTACCTGTTTCTTGTGACCTATCGATGTTGAAGTGCTTTCACCCACCTTTTTCTTGCTAGCGACGACCCTCAACCTGGGTTAAAGGTGTTCGCTGTGTTGAACTGCGTCGTTCAGTGAAAGAACGCTTATTTCTCAGGAACACTCAGGGTGAAAAAGTGCTTCACCTTTCCATTTGGAAGCCTATCCAGTAGCAAACTTATGCTGCATATAAGACCTATGCGATCAAATTGCAAAGAAAAGTAAGAAAGGGGTACATAATGCTGAGATATTTGCAAAACTCCGGACAGCAGGTGTATGCGATGGGGAACGAACGCGCGCTATTGTCCTTAGCGAGGAGTAGCGCACTTCACCACCACACCATCCGGGTCCTTCGTTTTGCTTGTCTCTGAACTAGTTCTATCGATCTTTTGCCATCAGCAATCACCCGTCAACGGGATTGATCACCTGCGGTCCGGAGTTTTGCAAATATCTCAGCATTATATACGAATTATATTTCGCAACATACCCTGCCATTAAAAAGAAAAAGGTGGTAAATAAAAGGGTTAAGATTAAGAAAGTGGTTTCACACCAAAGATGACTCTTCGTGACCATGGTTGTTTTTGATAACCACTAATAATTTCTCGATTATTGTAGCAATTAAGAAGCTGGATACACCACACACCCACCACTGGGGTTAAAAAAAATTGCTGCAACTTGTAAAAAAAGGCAAGACAAGGCCTGTGTGGTACATTGGGTAATAAGTGAGCCCTGGAAAGGATAGTCGCCGGTTCGAATCTGGCCTGAGGTCAAGGCTTTGTAAATATATCAGCATAATCATGGTTGAATCACACATCCAACGCTGCCATAAAAAAAAATAGTAGGCAGAAATTAAAAACTTCAACACTGTGTTTTCCGAGATAATGGTGAAACTCATACCCCGGGCCAGATTCCAAGCAGCGATATCCCTCCAGGAAAAAAAATAGTAGCCAAAAAATAAAAAGTTGTACACTGGGCTCACTGTTTCAAAAACCACCATTCTTTTACCCACTTTATCACTAATCAGCACGCATTCATTAACTGATAAGGCAATACGAGGATGTTAAAAAAAAACCCTGTTCAGCCAATGTTTCGACGCCTTCGCCTTCAGAGACACATTGATCCGAGTCTATTGCCCACAGCTCTACCTTTCTCCGCTGTAGGTCCTCGTGATTGAATGCAATAGAAATCCTCGAGATCGCACCGCTCGAATGAAGAATCTCACTTGGAAGTGCTTATTTATACAGGACGTTTGCTGTTGATACTGATTGTCCCGTGACAACAGCTTGTTTTCTCCGGAAAATCCATCCTACAGCAGTAGGTATTATTATCAGCTAGCCTAGCACATACTTACTTGATACTTGAATGGCCCTTCCTCACTGGTTGTGCGGGCTCTAGCATAATCTCCAGATTTTCAGGATAAGCCATTATGGTTCCCTGGAGTCCCGAGGTCAGCCTGGCCAAAGGCTGCCTCGGGTCTTCACCACCAGAGGTAGTCGCAGCCCTTGTGGATCAGAGGGAGATTTGCCACTATGCCACTTTGATATCAGGACGGCGGCGGATCCTAGTATTGGTTTACTCTTAGCTAAGTTTTCCGATGAAAACGTCAGACTCCTTCCCAGCTTGGGAGACCCTACCAGGGAATGAATCCCCCGCTATACATCGTAGCCCGACACCCAGGTACACCTCCCAACCACGATGAGGCGGTAAACCATTGGGAGGAGCCTAGCACATAGCGTAACAATATTTGGAAAACCGACTTTCCCTTATGCTCGGGTTGACTTACCAACACGTTTCGTCTCACTGATAAGCTAACTCGAAGCTGATAAAAAATTATCAAACGCCCGATGCTCCACTGGATACAACTCGATGTGATCACGACGACCAAATTCGGAAGAAGGAAAAACTGTGGACAATCGAGTAGAATTAAATGGTTACGGATGGTTGGCTAAGGAGCCGAAATGTTAGGCGAATAAGGTTTGTTTATGAGCTTCGAGTTAGCTTATCAGTGAAAGAATACATTGTGATCTCTTTCATAGTATTTGAACTCTAGGCCTTTCGAGAGTTCAAATCTAAAGAATTCTAACCTAAACGCGACATCATCAGACAGCAGCGACACAATGAGCAGCACCATTTTATGCAGCTGAACGAAATCCTGCTTGTGTTCGAAATACCAACTTCGACGGAAAAAGTGAACACGTACGTCTCGTAAGCGCAGGAAAACCAGAATTTCGTCTTGTTAGAATGGAAAAACGTGTATTCTTTACTGGGATGTACAAATTTTAATGTGTTTCATTTCCAATAATAAAGTTGCTTAACAAATATTGAGATATGCCAGCTTGAAGCGAAAGCGGTAACTATTATTTCGTACGGTCAGAATTTGTTGAATAAAGAGGAACCCATTGAGAACCTCAGGTGCAAATCGAGTTTACTGTAAATTAGCGGTCCACAGGTGAAAAGAGTATGTTATGGGAGAGAATGCATAGAAATTCCAACATTAAGGCGCATTGTAGCCAATGTGTTAGTGAGCTTCGTTTCTGAAAAGAAATTATGGCAAACGCGGACTAATATTTCCACTGAAAAAAATTCGGGGGTTACTCAAAATGTGCACATATATACCAATCATGACTTCCGAAATGCAGCATTTTGAATTGTACTGTGAAATTCAGAAGATCGGTTTGAATCACATCATCGGCGCCTCGGCGGTGAGCATGCCGGACACTGTCGGAGACTACTTCGACGTTCCTAGACTGCCGAGTGTTGTACCATGTAGGTATACGTTTGAGCATATAGAAGGATAAAGTAATTTAAAGAATATATTTCCACACCATGGTTTCTTGCTAACTAATAACCTGAAGCTCTCATTTCTTCTATTGTTTTTTCTATGTGCTAACATTGTCGAGCATGCAATCGTCACCGCTTCAAATTACTTCGCAGCTGATGCTGTTTCAAATTTCATATTTTTCTTTACAGCCCATTAAATGCGATAATTTCGATTTACTAATGCTTTAAATGACTCCTGATCACATCTATTGTGTGGATCCCAATAGATTATTGCACTTATAGACTTATAGACTATAGAGAATAGACTTATTGCATTCGATTAGTATTCCCTCCATACATCGTCCCCAAAGGTCTTCGAAAATTTCGTATGCTGTTTCTGCTGCTGCTCGAAGAATTCTTTTTCTGTGAATGTCACCGAGTACTGGTCTATTCGAATCTCCTTGCAATCTTGGAGATAGCCAGGCTGTGATGTTCCCACGTGGACTGGAGGAGAGAGTTTGGGAGGGGCGGACTAGAGCATTTGCTTCTCGATCGACCGCATCACAAGCCAACTGCGCCACCCTCAGCAACAACTCATTGTAGCGATTGGAATTTAGATAACAACCGATAGTAGGTTATATTACCGGTCAGTGAACTTATTCAAAAAAAGTTTTCGTAAATTTCTATGCATAAAGGATACCTTTAAATACGCTACACTTAACAGAACATTTGTGTTGCACAAATCATCGAATGAGCACCGGAAGTGTAGTAAGAAAATTTTGTGCACCAGAACAAATCACCGGGAAGAAAACGAGCTCTATAAAGCTCATTCTGGCCGCATAACCACACACCCCATCATATTGTGGTTCCGACAGCTGTCACGTCGTCGCATGAGCGTTAAAAATAAATAGTTGAATAGATAAATAAAGCTGAAAGATATCTAAAAAATATATAAAGTAATGTTAGAATGCTTCATAAATTACTTCATAGTTGCAGCATTTCTCGGAGAGACCAGTGACAAAATGAGCTTTTATGAACGTACAACCAATTTCGTTCTCAACCTCTTTGCGGATGTGGTTGTACACCGGATAATTGCCAAATACGAGGTGCCCTCTCCACATTTTTCATGAACCTAACACAACTGCACGACCCAGTAGTCACAATTTACAGAAATTCTTCAGAAATTGTGGCACTGTCATAATATCTCGGTAAAAGAAGAGGACTATGTCAGCAAAATGAATTACTTACTGTTGAATTCGGACGAGTTCCTCGAATTCGCTCGTCCTATCAGCGCCAAAGTGGTGCACATCGGTGGTATCGCATTACCGGAGCCGAGCCCACTCCTCGAGGTGACCTTTTAATTGTTTGACAACATCCTTGCTCCTCTTAGAATTGTCAAAATTCCAGTGCTTCTAGGAACTTCAAAAAATCATGGATCACAATTACAGGTCTGGAGTGGTTTACATTTCATTTGGTTCTATCGCGTCTACTAAAGAGGTAAGGCTAACATGCATTTAACTTTTTTCCCATCGAAATTTCGACTGCCTCCTGCAATCTGAACATCTTCAGATGCCGCGAAAGTTTCGAAGAGCAATTTTTAATGTAGCGCGAGCTTTCGCAATGTACACCTTCATATGGAAAGTCGACGATGATGATGATGATGTCGAATCCGTTTCAAATCTGTACACATTCACCTGGGTACCACAACGATCGCTCCTAGGTGAAACATTGTCGTTATGAAGTTGATAAAGGTTATGAGGTGGTTTGTCAACCTCGTGTAAGCTTATAAAAGAAAGATTAGATGTTGATTAGTAATACCGAGGTTAAAGGAAAGTCGGTTTTGAGATACTGTCGTTATGGTCAAAATGGAATCAATATCTCATCAAAATAGTACCAATGTTTTAATATCAATAATAATGCTAATTTCTTAATATCCTAATCAATAATCAACATCTAATCATTTTCTTTGACAATATGTTTTTAACAAAATAAAATTTTAAGAAGTAGGACAATATGAAAAAAAGAAATACAGCAGTCGCACTGCTAATATGCAAAAGCCATGGATTCTGTTTCGCCATGAAAGAGATTTTCTTCACAGTAGCGAAAACACACAGCGTTTAGCTCATCGCAACCTTCGGTGTTTTGTGTCACATGCCGGCCTGAATAGCGTGCTGGAGCTGACGACTAGTGGCAAGCCTGCCATACTTGTTCCGCTCTTCGCCGACCAATTTCGGTATAAAAATCCCTTATTATTTTAGTAATTGGTATCGAGTATTTTCGTAAGTGATGAATAAAGAGTGTCAAAACTAGGAAGTGCAGGTTCGAAGGTAGAAAGTTATGCGTCAGTGGCTGGAAGAGATACATTTATGCGTTACTTAAAACACTAACGTATCTCACCTGCACGTCTCTATGGATTTAAAAGCCTTTGTTTTTTGTCTGAATTTCTTTCCTAATAGCAAAAAGCAGATGTAAAACAAAATTTGTTAAGTGAGTAAACCGAGATCGAGTAATAGTAAATTTTCCGAAAATAACGAGTGGTGTTTGCCACATTCTCTAAAAGGTGTAGACGTTCACCGCAGGAGACAAGCCGGCAGTAACCATTATAAATTTTGTCCAGAAAATGGATTCTCGGAGGGCCAACTGCCTCTTCCAGATCTTCTTGATGGAATCTCACTTCTTTCTCAGAATCTTCTTGCTGGAAATTCCTTTATTTTTAAGGCAAAGCTGTTTTTAGGAATGCGCGTATGGTGAAAGCAAAAAACACGGCGATTTTGATTAAAAAAGAAGAGTTTAATAGCGAAACTTTTGCTTCAGCTCTCCAAAGGATGTTTTTACATGACAAGTGAGTCTTATTGTATTGTAAACTTTCGTAAAGTAAAGCAAATGAAAGGATAAATGTGTCTCCGGTGAGGAACGAACGCGCTATTAGTCTTTCCGAGGGCTAACGCGTTCACAACAACACCATGCGGGTCCTTCGTTTCGCCCGTCTCTCAGCTACTTCTATCGATCACTGCCATCAACAATCACCCGTCAAGCCCAAATCGGCATTAAACCCAGTTAGGCTGAGGCTTTAGTCGAAATCACAATTTTAGCATATTATTTGCTGCCTATGAGGGGCGCGTGTGGCAGTGGTCGGAGGCGCCCTGTAACTCACACATGGAATCGATCCCTGCGCCTATGGCCCACCAAGCCTTCTATCCCTCCGTGGTCGGTAAACTAGTACCAGACTAGTCTAGGAGGATAGCAGCACTGGCTCGATACATCGGGAGACCACCACAAGTCATTGTAAAGGCCATCACCTGTACCACCTGTAGTTCCGTTGATCGTCGAGTGACTCGAGCGGACACCAGTAAATTTTCCATTTGTCGCGTGCAAAAGTAGTCCAGTGGGTTCTGCTCGCTCTAGGGACTCGTCAAGCACCATATCTTTCTTCTAGGCTCTTCATGAAAAACTCTGACCATCGGGTCGGTGGTCTTCCTGCAGTACGTTTGACATCCCGAAGAATCCAGTCACTAACGGCTCTTTCCTATCGGTTGTCATTCATGCGCATTACGTGTCCGGCCCATTTTATCTTCGACAGTTTTGCGTACAGAACGGCATTTTTGATTTTTGATCCTTGACGCAGATCGGAGCTTCGGATCCCATCTCTTACTTGTGTGGAACGGAATACCCCTAGCATTGTGCTTTCGACTGCGCGTTCGATAACGCTGAGTGATTTCTCATCCTGCTTACGCAGCAACCAGGCTTCTGACATATACGCTCGGGCAGGAAGTAGCGTTGAGTCGAAAAGGTGGGCACGGAGTCGGGTGTTCTTTGTTCCCTTCACTACATCCTCGATGCTCTTGAAAGCTCTCCAAGCCGTTCGTTCCCTTTTGCTCAGCTCTAGAGCTAAGTCGTTCGTCATATTGTTTCCTTATTTTTACTATTTTTTTTATTTATTTTTTCATATTTCCCAACTTATATAGACATAACTGGAGTATTCGGAGATATTCGTTCTATTGAGCGTGAATGGGGCTTGCAAAACCAATCCGTTCCTCATGAGCATCGTTTTTGCGAGATTTAGTCGAAGACCAATCTTTCCACAGACTTTATCAAAGTCGGCAAGCATTCGCTTCGGTTGGCTAGTGTTATAAGGACGATGTCACCAGCAAAGTGAAGATGGTGTAATTGCAGACTGTCGATTTCCACTCCCATGTTATACCATTCCAATGTTCGCATGATGTTCTGGAGGGTGACAGTAAATAATTTTGGCGAGATGGTATCGCCTTGCCTAACTCATCTTTTGACGTCAATGTTAATATCGTTGTAGAATGGTGATATCTTGGTTGTGAAATTTCGTACAGCTCACGAAGAATCTTTATGTACTGAGTAGGGACTTCTTGACTGTCAAGGGCTTCCATAACTGCTTCTATCTCAATTGAATCAAAGTCCTTCTGTAAGTAGATGAAAGTGTGACTGAGCGGTCTTTTGTACGCTCGCGATACTGCAGTGAGCCTTGTTATCGTGTGTATGTGGTCCATCATACTAAATCCTTTTCGAAAACCTGCTTGTTCACATAGCAAGGAAAGGCCATATAAGTAATTAATCACCTCCAAATGATGTTTAATGAAGTCGAATGCTTGGCGCATCCCTCAGGGATTGATCAACGCCTAGAGCTTTGCCTTTTTATTATTTGCTGCCTATTAGAATTTTTCACGGCAGGGTATTATGTGTCATACAGCCACAAAGATGCTGAGATATTTATAAAACTCCGGACTCCAGATGTCTAGCTGAGAGACAGGTGAAACGAAGGACCGGCATAGTGTGGTCGTGAACGCGTTAGCCTCCGCATAGGGTAATAGCGCGTTCGTTCCTCACCACAGACACTTGTGGTCCGGAGTTTTGCAAATATCTCAGCATCATTGTGGTTGCATGACACATAATATCCTGCTGTGAGAAATTCTAATGGACAGTAAATAATAAGTTAAGATCGAAAGGATGAGGTTCACTTAATTTGCGATGACTTTCGACTACTTATCTATTCGAATAATTTGTGAGCTATTTGGTATTTTATAGCTCGGATATGGCTTTGTGAATGGCCAACTCACTTGATAATTGAATGGTCCATATTCACGAAGAATCGTTCGCCCACCAGGACAACTTTATTCAAATGATACCCTATTTGTCTAGCAAGATTTAAAAAAATGTCACATTGATGAAGAAGTGTGAAGAAAAAGGAAGAAAACAGAGAGAAAGGAAAAGTCTGGTTATTCTCTACATGCTAGCTTAAGAAAGGTAATCAATCCATCCGCCTAGACAAGCCGAATACCAGCTACAGTCACTATTCAATGGGAGTTGCGATAATCAATGAAGCCTGTCGACATCACTAAGTTCTATGCAGCTTAACCAATGCATACTAAATCTTTCAACGGCGTAAAAAAGATCAAGACGAAAATGTGCTTGCAACTTTAGAGCGATGATTAAAACTTCTCGTGCAGGCAAGTCAAGTCCATAACTCGCAACGCGCATTCTACTCAGTGAAAAATTTTCAAAACACAGGTGGAAAAACACCGTACGCAAATTTCATTCGCATACCAGACAGCTTTCTTTGAACACTCATAGTTCTCACGGTTTTTAATTTTCATTTACTGCCTACCGTTTTTTCGCGACGGGGGGCGTCTCCTGCTGTCCCGTTAATCGTCGAGTGAATAGAGCACGAGGCAGTAAATTTAGCATTTCTCAGTGTTGCGTGCAAGAGTAGTCCAGTCGGCTTCGCTCGCTCGAGCGACATGTTAAGCACCATGCTTTAAATACCACACTTATTTTCCGGGGTTTTCCTGAAGAACTCTGACCAACTGGTCGCTGGATTTTCTGCTGCGCGTTTGACATCCCAAAGAGTTCAATCGCTAGCGGCTCCTTTTCCATCGGTTGTCCTCCATATGCATTACGTTTCCGGCCCAACTCATTGTAGATCGTTGGGCGTAAAGAACGACGTCTCTAATTGTTGATCATTAACGCATGTCAGAGCTTCGGATCCCTTCCTTACTAGTGTGAAACGAGACACTCCTAGCATCGTTCTTTCGACTGCGCGTTCAATAACGTTGAGTGATGGTTTATTCTGCTTACGTAGCGACCAATTTGTATACGTTAAGGTAAGAAGAGTCGAAAAGGTGTGGGCACAAAGTCGGATGTTCTTTGTTCTCTTCACTACATTCTCGATGGTCTTGAAAGCTCCCCAGGCCACTCGTTTCTTTCTGCTCAGCTCTGGAGCTAGGTCGTTCATCATATTGATTTCCTGACCTAAATAGAAATAATTGGAGCATTCAGAGATATTCCTTCCGTTGAGCGTGAATGGAGCATACCAAACGAATCCGTTCCTCATGAACATTGTTTTTGTGAGATTTAGTCGAAGACCAATCTTTCCACAGACTTAATCAAAGTTGGGACTCAAGTCAAGTCAAAGCATACGTTCCGCTTGGCTAATGTTTGGTGTTACAAGAACGGTGTCATCACCAAAGCCAAGATAGTGTAATTGCCGATCATCGATTTTAACTCCTGTGTTGCCCCATTCCAGTGTTTGAATGACGTTATCGAGGGTTACGGTAAATATTTTTGGTGAGATCGTATCGCCTTGCCTAACCTCTATTCTGATGCCGATGCTAATATCGTTACAAAATGGTGGTATTTTGGTGGTTGTCAAATTTTTGTATAGCTCGCGAAGAATCTTAATACACTCAGTAAGATGCCCTGGCAGTCCAAACCTTCCATAAATGTTTCTCTCCAAACCCAATTATCGATTTAAGGAAAAATTTTGACTCAATGTCGTCTTTCATAGCGGAGTATTACGTGTGATGCAACCACAATGAAGCTGAGATATCTGTAAAAGTTTGGACTTCAGGGGTCAGTGGAGGAGAACGAACGCGTTATTACCCTTTCAGGCAGCTAACGCGTTCACCACCACACCATGCGAGTCCTTCGTTTCGCCTGTCTGTCAGCTAGTTCTATCGATCAGCGCCATCAGCAATTGCCCATCATTCTCATAAATCCCGATGAATCCTGTTACGCTGAGGCTTCAATGCCGTTTTTGCTCTCCGGATCAATCCCGTTGGCGGTTTATTGCTAACGGCATTGGTTGATAGATAACCAGATGAGAGGCAGGCGAAATGAAAGACCTGCATGGTGTGGTGGTGAACGCGTTAGCCCCCAGAAAGGGTAACAGCGCGTTCTTTCCCCACCGCTGACACCTTGCGGTCCAGAGTTTTGCAAATATCTCAGCCTC